GAGAAACACTGAAATAGACTATCGTGGTCATTTAAATCATCCCGTCACCATCACGCAGGGGAAATATATAAACCGACCGCACAAACGCGCGCGTGCACGCAGCTACAACCCGCGCGCTTCCTCGACCAGCGCAATTGCAATTGTAGAATTGTTGTTCCTCCTATTATTTAGTACGTCTCCCCTTTTTAGACGAGCTTGTTTTATAGTACACAAATGAACAGGACGTCGCGCTTCTTGCGCCTCTTGGCGCCTCTTGTAGCAATCGCATCGCCAGCCGGGAGCATGTGCACAGCCTGCTAGACGCTCCTGAGGGCGACACGTCCTAATACATCCTAATACACGAACTCGAGACACCCTCCCGGCTCAAACCCCAAGTTCCCCGCCTACCAGCCGTTGGGGGGGACTCAGACTCCAGAAACGCGTCTGCGGCGTGGCTGGCAGCCGAGCATATGTCATCGCAGCAGGTCACCAGTAATGTCACTACAGCAGACTGCAGGGCGCTGTGGCGCAGCGGCGGCGCCGTCGCCGTCGCTGCAGATGATGATGATGATGATAGCTTACCATCTACGGTTGTGGTATTATTGGCTGTGGTGGTGGTGGTGGTGGTAACGGAAGGGCCGTATACGGACGAAGCCGCCACTGCCTGCTCGGCGTGGCATGTTACGTGTTGGCGATGGGAAGTGGGGAGTGGGAGGCGTGGGGAGTGGGAAGTGTTGGCGATGGGTATTAAAGCCAGCCACGGCAACGCGGGTTGCGAAGGGAGAGAGGAGAGGACAGGAGAGGAGAATGGAGATGAGAAAGGTCAAATAGGAAATGCCGGCAGTGCCCAGGAGCCAGGGCCCCGACGGTGTCGTTCATGTGTCTGCTGTCCGCGCGGCGGAACTGGCGGAAGTGGCTAAGGTGCACATTGCCCAGCGGAATGCCTGCACCGAACCGCAAGTGTCGGGTCACTCGCCCTGTCACTGTGTGCCCTGGAAAGCCGACTCTAATGGGCAGTAGCGCCCTCGGAAGGTAAAGTGCGGATGCGCGGGGCTTGGGGACCTCAGAGCTGCGCACCCCTGGCATTTTTGCTGATCGCCCGGGTTATGAGACGTTTTGAGTACAACTGAGTTAAACTTACCCCCCGGCGCACCAGAGCCGCGAGCAATTCCCGCAGCAGCACCAACGCGCTGTATGACTCCGACGCCTGCAGGTACGGCCTGCCATACATGCCATACAGCGCTTGTTGCAGCCGGCTTATGACCGTGGCGTAGACGACCTCCACGTCATCGAACAAGAGGAGCAGCTGCACGATGGCCGCGGCGGCGGCAGCGGCGGCGCTGCTGCTGCTGGCCCCCTGGCTCCAATAGTCGTCGATCATTTCTCGTAGCCAGACACTGACGGAGGCGGTTTCGGAGCGGCTCACAGTCGCCGCGTCATCTGCTGGGACGGAACGCCCTAGGAGCCAGGACCTGCAGCGTGGGGCATGTACGGCATCTGCATGAGTCGTGCACAAGGCGGCATGTACCTGTGCAAAACCCCCAAGGAGAACTGTGCAATACAATTTCTCGGCTATGACAAAAAGCAATCAACCAAGAATGCAAACATGGATGCGCGAGATTGGGAGCAGCACAAGTTGATAAAAAGAGCATGCGGGATCCAGACGCGACCCGCAACTCATATACCAGCATACCTAGCTGGGTTGCGCAGCTCGCCACCCGGCTCAAGGGTCGCCGGCGGGAATTCCTGCAGCAACCCCAGACAACCGCCGACGCCCGCCACAGCCACCGGCACTGCCGCAGCTGCCGCCGCCAGCACCGACTGCCAGACGCTGCGCTTGTACGGCAGGCCCGTGAAATTCGTCAGGTAGACGAGCACAGCGCGCAGCGCGGTAAGCATGGCGCCAGGGAAGTCCGCAGAGGCCGTCGCGGCGACACCGTCGGATTGATGCAGCTGACCGTCGGCGGCAGCACTGCGCGCCGCCGCCGCGACGCAGCGCATCAGCTGCTGCAGCCCCAGTCGTGATATGTCGCTGCCGCTGACCACCGCACGGATCGCCAGTAAACCCTCCATTCGCTGCACCACTGGTACGGCGGCGAACCACCCCTCCAACCAGGCTGCTGCGAGCGCCTGCGACACAGAATGGCACCACAACAAATTCATTCGTCTGTGCAAACCTTTTTTTATATTGTGCCACACGGCCGGTGGCGGACGAAATGGCACTGACAATTAACTGCCTATTTTTTTCCTTGCGCATCCCCATGTCCGCTATAAACAAGATGAAAAGGAAAGGGCATGGCTGCAGTCATCGACAAGGCTTGGCTACTTCACATGCCGCTGTGCAAAAGAAAATTAAAAGCATATTGCGCCCCACTGTTTCGCCTTCCCTTCCCAGGGCCATACAAGCCCGCGTTTGGACAACGCCTGGGTTCGCTGGCCTTTTCCTTACTACCTTCTCTCACTTACGACTCCAGGGCCACGCAAACGACAATATCCACTACCCGCTCCTTTCCATCCGCATCCGGAGCTCGGTTGCGTTCCCCTCACACTCCCACCTGCGCATCCAGCATCTCGGCCTCCGCAGCGCCGCCACGGTAATGGATGTCCCGCGCCAGCGAAGGCAGCAGCACCCCCGTCACGAATGCCAGCGGCACACCGCGCAGGGCCTCAGGCGCCCGCCAGTCGCGCTGCAGGAGGGTGCGCATCCCCAGCCTCTGCACCTGCACATTGCCGTGCTGCAGGGCACGCGCCCACAGCACGCACTGCCACTCGCGTGGCACCGCCCAGGGATCCGCAGCATCCGCGGCATTGGAGCCGGCGGCACTGTTGGCTGACGCCGCCAACTCGTCCGTTGCGTCGTCGACGGTTGTGTTGGCGTTTTTGCGCTGCTTGAGCTCCTTCTTGCGGGGGATGTACGACTTCGGTACGACGGTTTCGGTGCGGAACTCCGGCGCGGGCGCATGCAGCTGGTCGATCTGCGGTTAGGTCAGGTGAGGGCCGTCAGGCCACGGCACCGCACCTTGAGGACGAGAGCCGCGGGGCTAGCTTTTGCTATAGCGCAAAGACAGGGGGCCACTTCTGTGGTTTACGACAGCGCAACCACAGGACCGAGGCTAGGGATCGCCCTTCCCTCTAGCACTCCGGGGCGCTCCGAAACCCACCTTGGCCCACACGGGCGCCACCAGGTGGATGGGAAACTCGTCCAAAATGTCGTACAGCGCGGCCCATAGGGCCCAGCCCGGCTGATGCATCTGGCCGCTCGGGGCCAGGCGCTGCAGAAGCAGCATGGCGCGCTTGCGCTCTAGCGCATCCACATCGGCGGGAAATGCCTGGGCGGGACACGAGCGGATTTTCCTCAAGGCCGCAGCAGCGGGAAGGGAATAATGTCGTTATTAGAACGAAGGCGAACGGAAAGGAGAGCGCTATGGGGACACATACTTTGGTTGCAGCTGGGGTTACGCCACCGCAGAGAAACGGGATTTGCACTCCACGGCACAGCACACCGCGCCGTCCTGCAAGTACGACAGCGCAGACGACAAAACACATCACACGGCACAGCGCACAGCACATCTCGACATTTTCTTACCTACACCCCCTCAATCCTACCGTCCCAATCCATCAGAACCCACCAGGCACGTGCGGAGCAGCTCCCAGAAACGGCTGCACGCCTGGACGTCCACGCCCGCCTCCGGCTGCAGGAGCAACCCCGATGCGGACACCAGAAGTGCCAGGGCGGTACGGTGAGACGTGGCGCACATGGAAATCGCGGACCCAGCAGCAACAGGGCGGCCGCCATCGCCGATGTCACTGCCGCAGCCGAGCAGCTCCAACGCCAGCTGCCACACCTCCTGTGCTGTGGACGTCAGGTCGCTGCCGCCTGGAGCGTGTGGCGGCAGATGTGGGTGACGGTGCCGTGGGAGACGGGGCACCGGAGCGGGCGGACGAGGGCAGGGCGGAGTGGCGAGTGTGCCAGAAGGTACGTCGGTTTTGTGAGGGATTTCTGTGAGGGATCTCCGTGAGGGATTGCGGACCCTTACATGCGGGTGTCTCATCTGGTTCACGGGGTAGGGGGCGGAGGCGGGCCCACCTCGCAAATGTTCAAGTAGGCTAAATGTCATCCGGACGCGCCAAGGGCGCACCGCCCTCCTCATCCTACAACTCCCACCTCAACCCATTTGCCCGCCTGAACCCCCCATCCACCTCACCCAACCCTACCATACCACACCTTGCCAGTGCCCTTCCCAGAGCCCCTTGACCTCCTGACTCACCGCATGCCTGGGCGCTTGTCAACGTGATGGGCACCAAGGTCTTCAGGGCCGCTTGCCGGGCAGCAGAGGATGGGCAGCACAACAGTGGCCGCAGCGCGGCTCGCAGGCGGGTCAGCACCCAGCGTAGCACCTCCAGGCGGCTATCCGCAACATCGACCATGGCCGCAACGTACCCACCTCCTGCTGCGGTTGGGAGTGGGGAAACAGAGTTCGGAACCGGAAGGCTCCGTCATGCGCTGGGCAGCAGCGGAGGCGTTCATCCATTCATCCATTCACGGGTCCCAAACAGATGCGATGCAAGCAGGCCAAGGGCGGAGGCATATTGGAAACCGGTGCCGTGGCCGTCGAAGTGTAATGGGACCGACAACGACCAGATATGGCTTACAACGCATCTCCTCCTCCTCTTTGCCGACTTCATGCACCCCCAAACCTTTGTAAGCGTAGCATACCTGCAAGCTCGGCCTGCTGCTTAGCGCCTGCTTTTGGAAAGGACAAGATGTACGCCATGTCTCCCCGCCATTGCGGCTTTGCATCCCGAAAACAGTCACCGGCGAGCCGCGGTGTGTGCCCAATCCCCAGTTCGACCCCAATCCCCACGTTCGCGCTGGCCCCGGCACCCAGCAGCTCACGCACTTCCTCCCATACACGCTTCACCCCGTCAGGCACATTGCACAACCTCCCTCGAAAGCCCCTCCTCTCAGGCAGGGTGCTCTCCAGGAGCCCCACCAGTCCCTCGGCTCCTTGCCCACCAACCTGAACTCAACCGCTGCACCACCGCCGCCAACAGAGTGCACGCGACCCGCAACGGCAGTCGGCAGCCGCCGCCGCTACTGCTGGCCCCGGTCCCGGCGCCACAGGCCCCCGTAGCCGCTGCGTCCAGTGCGCTGACGCACGCACCGATCAGCTGTCGCAACTGCGGCCACAGCTCCCTAGCTATCAGCAAGTCCACCAGGACGGTGCAGGTCTGCAGCTGACAGGCCTTGTCGGGCAATGTGCCGCTGCGGGCCAGCAGCGGCAGGAAAAAAGCGTCCAGGAACTGCTGGATCACGCGGGCGTCTGGAGCGCAGGTGGCGGGTAGTTGGGCGGCGAATGTGCGTGTTTAGATGGTTATCTGGGGGATCGGGGTTTCAAGGACTTGGCGGCGGCGGGGCGCATGTTGGTTGGCAAGGAGGGGAAGGAAAAAGGGGAGGGGCGGCGGGGGCGGCGGGAAAGAAGAGGTGAGATGGAGATTTTCGGAGGATGTGGGATGCAAAAAGGCTGAGTGGCAGGGGCCACTCCGTATGGGGATTCACGCTGGAATTGCTTGGTGGTGGGTTGTCAGCAGCTTGACGCGGGTGAAAGTGCGTGGGGTTAATACGTGGAGTCCTGGAGTCCATTCTTGACGTGTTTCTTTATGAAAAACACCGAAAATTCACGGGCAAGGGGACCCTTTCACATATTGGATTTTGTGTTGTGACGGGGATGGTGTTGTGTGTCGTTTTGCGAGCGCGCTCGCTAACCACGTGAAACGTCGTACGGCAGGCTTCAATCCACGTACCAAAGCACGAGCATACCTTGCTGCGAAAGGTAATGCAGCGCGGCCGCAGTGCAGGTTGCGCGCAGCTGGCTGGCAGCGTCGCCGGAGCCGGCCTCCTCGGAAGCACTTTCGACCTGACGGGGGTTGGGGATATGTTCGTAAGCAAGAGGGCGGACAATTTGATAACTCATCAGCAAGAAGAAGTCCCCCCACCAGAATAAGACTATGTGCCTCTGGCCATGGAAGAGCACATACGGGTAAGAATAATGCCATGTCCCTTGTGTTTGACGTTCATCCGTACCAGGGTATTGTCCCCAGGAATCAACGCCACATCGTCGCAAGCTGTAACGCTGAGGACGCATGCATCGTACAGATCGGAGAGGAACTGTTGCGATGGTGCGGCAATGTCAAACGCAACTGAAACCATCGCTGCCCTTTTTAAAACGTCTAGCGTCCCCGAACATGTAGACAGTGCCGCTAAGCGTTTATGTAACAGATCAGCGGAGGCCATGGCACAGGCAGCGAACGCTTCTTGTATTTATTCCGAGTGGTCGTGACGACTAGGGCGGCGCACCACGGCACACAACAAGCTCTCCAAACAGAAGCATCTCAGTGTGAATTAGATTTAAAAACTGTTGTACCTAAAGTTTATATATCAATCGCTTAACGCAGTTAGCCAGAAACTTTTGCGGTTGGGTACGTGATGCAATTCAGTTGCCAACCATAAGCTGGTAAGCGACCTTCAGGTAGACTTGTGCATAGTACAGTGAAATGCACGCTACCATGTCCGGGCTGAGTTTCCTCAGTATGCTTACTTGCTGTCAAGGTCAACTCTAGCTGTCAATACTGGTTATGCACCGCAATGTCCCTGTCCTGGCTTCCTTTATGCACCATACACAAACTCTTTATTGCTTTAAGAAGAATTTAGGTCGCGAGCATGGCGACAACCGTCCCCATTCTGGCTGACTGAGCCGGGAAGGTAAACGCTGGAGATAGCGCGGATAGAGATCAGCGGCTCAGCATGGCAAGTTCAGCGGCTCAGCCGGAATATATGGTTGTGCCAAGCGATTATGGGGCTTCTCTCTGTTCGGGTTATGAAGCGCAACTCCAGGAGTTGCAGCTAAGCGCAGCAGAACAATTAAGGGAGATACAGGAGGAACATGCACAGGTAATCCAGATATGGTATGCGTGCTGACAAAGTTGGCTTACAGTGAAGGTGGCTTCACAGCTGTGCACTTGACCCGGTCGGTGCGCAGGTTCTGTCGAAGCGCGACCTTGAGCTGTTCCAGGCAAAAGACGATAACACCAGATTAAAGGGGCAGGTCTTAGAATGGCGTAAAAGATACGTACTGTGCAGCGTGAAGCTAAAGAGCACCGAGGAGAGTGCCCAGCTTGCCCAGGCCAACGTCACAGCCCTCCAAAGTGTCGTTGACGGGTGGACCGCGGAGAGGGAGGGTTTGCTGCGTAACATTCATTTGCTGCAAGAGCAGCTGCAAGCCCTCACGGCGCTGTGCCAGGGACAGCACCGTGCCAAAGTTGCACAGCAGGTGTGGTGGACGTGCGTGGACTTGCAATCTCCGCACAGTACCTTGCGGACTTGTCCCAGATGGGGGAGCATCTTTGGCATCCTCCTCGTATCTCGTATGAGATAAATGACACGCTCTTCCTGCCCTTCCCGCCTCATATACGTCCCAGGGCCAGCTAGCCAGCACAGATGCCGAGGCCAGGCAGCTCCATGCACAGCTCCTGCAGTCGCACGAGCTTGCGGAGCTGCTTGCACAGCAGCTGGCAGGTGAGCGTGCAGCTGCTCGCAACCAATTCGAGGAGTTCCAGCAGCAGCTGTCAAAGGAGCAGGCGCAGCTGCAGGCCCAGACGTCGGCATACGCGGCCTTACAGGCCGAATGCGACAGCCTGCGGGCTTCCCTAGCAGAAGAAAAGAAGGCGCACGCGGTAGAAAGACAAGCGCGCGCTGGCCTGGACGCGCAGGTTGCTAACCTGGCTAGCGAGCTACAGACCTGCTGTGCTGAGCTTAAGACTGCCGAGCAGCGGCTGGCGCGGGCTGCAAACGACAAGACTTTGCAGGATGAGCAGTTGTTGCAGGAGGTTCAGCGTAGGCGGACCGCTGACGTAGTGCTCATTCAGGATCTCCAGCAGGGCGTCCAGCGGCTTAAGGAGCGGCTGGAGCAGGAGAGGTGCGGCGCCTGACATGGGAGTGAACACGAGGACGTTGAAAGCAAACCCGTCCCTCCCGTGCGAAATCCTAGACTTGAACACATCTAGTCGAACTAGAACCTGTGGCCGCCGCTCAGGGGCTTTGGGGCTGCCATTGCTGTGTGAGGGTCCACCTTTGTAACGGCCGCGACCACGCGGACGGCGCGTGCGCAGGCGGGACGCGGAGAAGGAGCAGCAGCTGCTGCGCACAAGGCTAGAACGCGAGCAGGAGCTTCGGGAGGGCTTGGAGCGGCAATGTGCGGAGAACCGTAAGCAGCTGCAGGACGATCATCAGAGCCACATCGCTGCTCTGGCGCAGCTCAGCCGCCAGGTGGGACGCTGTGGGTCTGTCACACAATCGCGCCCGCGTGTTGCTGCTTACGGCAGATGACATGGCCGTTGAAGGTTTCATCTGGGGGCGCAAGTCAGGAGGGTTATGCATCTTTGTATGACACGGGAGGTGCAGAGAGGGAAGAAAGTCTCCGAGTGCAGGGATGCGACTCGCCGGTCCGAGTGATTCTGTGCATCTCAGATCCGTAGCAGTCATTGCGAAGGCAGTGTGCAGGTAAGAGCGATTGCGTACCCCCGTTCAGGCCTCTGCGGCAAATGGGTCTAAAGCCTTAGCACTCACTTAAAGCATTGAACAGTAAAGCCCCAGGCAACGGTGCCAGTTTGCCGCCTGGAGGAATAGCTGTGATTCAGAGGGCACATGGGGTAGTGTACAGACGTTTCCTACCGGGGTCTGCCTCTGTGCCGCTGCAGTTGAGCGACAGGATGCTGGAGCTGCAGCAGACTAACGAGACCGCAAGGCGGTTGCATGAGCAGCTGGCTGCAACCGAGAAGCGGGTAAGAAAAGAGTGGCTGGATTGGGTGGAGAGTTTGCGGTGCCAGTACACACCCTGGGACTCTGCACGTTGCGTTGTTTGCTGCTGCAAGTTACGCAATCACGATTCCTCGTCTCCAAACCGTTCCCAGTGCATTCTCAATCAAGCGGTACGATTTTCGTTTGCGGAGTGATGTCGCACATGCAACGGCATAAGAACCCTTCGTGCTATGGGCTGCCCGTTCGTGCAGTATAAGGATAAGGCGCTCGAGCTGCAGCAAGCCAGCGATACCATCAGCCAGCTCGAGGAGCAGTTGGTGGCAGCGGAGAAGCGGGTGCGAGGCGGCCGAGAAAGCACTCGGGGAGTAGGCGCCTTCTTTTGGGAGTCCAAAACGCAACCAAATTTGGCTAGAATCGTGTTCGGGGGAGTCCAAAACGCAACCAAATTTGGCTAGAATCGTGTTCGGGTAGAATCCTAGTCGCGTGGAATCCCGCCTTTTGGCTTAGGTATTGGCGATGTGATGTTTACGGGGCCGCACGCTGGCGGTATTTCGCAGGCTGCCGCTCGCGACACTCGGATCACTGAGCTGGAGTCTACCTTGGAGCGCAACTCCAAGAAGCTCTGCCAGCAGGCCAATAGCAGGGACGCCGCGGTGGCGGGGCTTCAGGAGCAGCTTGAGCAACGACAACGAAAGGTAGGCGCGTAGCGCGAGGTTGGTCTCATGTCCACCCGCTGCCAGGAAGCAGGCCGTTCCGAGCCCATCCATTAGTGCTTGGCTTTGGATGCGTCAAACCCGTACATGAATCTTAGTTTGTCTACGCCATTCCCTCAGCTTGAACAGAAAGAGGCGGAGATTCGCGAAGCACAGGAAAGCTATTCACGGCAGTTGGGGCAGCTTGAAAAGCGGCTGGCGCAGAGCGAAGCCGCGGCGCGGGAACAGGAGACGCGCCTGCAGCAGCAGCTGGATCGCGCACGGCGTCAGGTGAGCCGCGTTGGCGAAGATACAGCACAAACACGGCACGGCTGCGCGATGCTACGGGGTCCTTAACCTGTTTTCCGCGCCTGTGCCGCGCGTTTCCATTCAGACTGCGGACACTGAAGCGCAGCTGCAAGCTCGTCTCGTTGAGCTGCAAGGACTTTTGGCAAGCCGCGACGAGCAGATCAAGCAGCTCACAGAGGGCCACGCAGCCGAAGGCACGCAGCGCGAGAAACGCCTTAGGAAGCTTCAGGCAGACCACGAGGCGGAGGTAGCCAGGCTGGAGACGCGGATCCACGAGCTGGAACACCAGGTCGCAATCGCGCCGAGCCCAGGGGAACCACTGCGGAACCAGGCAAGTCCCCACACTCGCAAGCGCTCTAATTATTGCTGGTCTTCGGGGACTGGTCTCCAGAAGAGAATTTCGGCATTGCATGACGCGGGCTTGCTTTACTGGTTCGTGGCGTTATCATTGGCGTTGATGCTGGTTCCATGAGTGTTGCAGGAGTTGTTGGTGCTTAGGGAGCCGGGCATACCTGCCGGGCATGGGAGGTTGTGCATGGTGCGCCCGTAGGTTTTACTTGCCGTGGCCTGGTCGTCTTCCCACGCAGGTCCGATCCGCCGCCGCCGCTGTGGATGCGCTGGTGGACAACCTGCTTAGAAACACCAGTGACCTTGCAGGAGGTGCCTTGGGGCAGATTGGCGAAGATGACGATGGCGATGAGGACCGGGGCCCAGCGGCTGATCTCATCTTGGGCATGTAGGTTGTCAGGTGCCGGTCTTCGCACAAGTCTTCTAGTCCGTGTCTTTGGTACCTGTCCTATCGTTGCCGGCTCCCAAACACACCCCTGGTATCAGCATCACTCGTCTGTGGTCCGTCTTTCCCCGCACAATTAAGATGTTGTCTTTACTTCAGTTGTGGCGCAGCTCACTCTGTATTGCCCAAGGGTAGTTTGGCGGCCATGACGCGGTCGAAGTGGAGGTTGCGATCCATACCGTATCATTTGATGCTTGGTAACGCGTCTTATAAGTTGATGCGTTGGAAATCTGAATTCCAACACATCATTGCTTTCCAGGTCGCAGCCTCACCTGTCTCAAGGCCATGGCGGTCACCCGGTGGCACAGCAGCCCGGCGTACCTGCAGGAACCACCGCACAGCAAACCGCTGCTGCAGCAGCAACTTTCGCTGCGGGAACGAGGGATCAGGGTGCTGCCGGACACACTGGGAGCCCCGCGAAAAAGACTGAAGCATGCAAACGTGCTCCGGAGGGAGGCGCCAGAGAAGGCGATGAGCAGCCCGCTGGGCGAGGTAAGCTGGCGATCTGCATGCCTCGTGGGTATAGGTCATGTAGGGTACGGGTGTGGATGTGATGTGCGACGCCTTCGATGCAGGGTGGTGCTGACCAATGCTGCCTTATTATGCTATATCCCCCATGCAGGTCGAGGTCGCAAAGCTGCCAAGCTGGCGAAAGACGACCGCTGGGTCGAGGCCATCAAGGACCTGGGGCAGTCTAATCCCGCTGCGGCGAACTCCATGGACAGCAGGGATGCGCCGAGCCAGGTCAGTGCCAAGCACCCGCCAGCGCACTGAATTCCACAAGTCTGGTGCAAGTTGCAGTTAGGCAGTTAGGCTTACATGCTGCCCTTGTTCGGGTTATCCTCATGTAGGCGGCGCCGGATGATGGCCCCTCAACTAGGGCGGGCAGCAGGCGGCGTGCAGCACAGGCCGGACAGGCGCGAGCGAAGGCTATGGCCGCTGCCCTTGCCGATGATTTGGAAGCAGAGACGGAAACGGCTACGTTGGGCGCAATGGGCCCCGAGGCGGGAGCCGCAAGAGGCCGTAGGGCGGCACAACGTGCGGCAACACAGGAGGCGGCGTTAGCAGCTGAGCCGCAGAAGGCTATTGCACCGCCTGAAGCAGCCCCTGCCGGATCCAAACGGGGCCGAGCTGCTGGCAGCCGTGGCAAGGGTGGCAAGCAGGCCAAGGGCAGCCAGCCGCAGGAAACGGAAGAAATGCAATCCGAATCGGCAATAGCCGCAGAGCCGCAGGCGCCGATCCGGCGCGACGCTGAGCAAAAGCCGCCGGCTGCTGCGAGCCATGAGGATGCCAGCTTGATGCCACCTCCCGCCCGGCCAGCAACTCGTCGGCGAGGCGCTGCCGCTGCCGTTGTCACAAAGCCTGCAGAATTAGCCGAGGTAATCCCTGCAACACAGGACGTGGACCTGGCGGCCTCACAACAGCCCACGCAGCAGCAGCACGTGTCACAGCCGCCGACGCAGCCCCAGCCACCTCCCCCACCAGCGCAACCGCTGGCGGCACCAGCCGGGCGTCCACAGCAGCAGGCGGTTGGAGCTGCTGGCGGGGTCGCAGGGTCTCTGCCCAGCTTTTCACAGCAAGGCATGCCCACCGCGAGCCAGACCAGCCTCTTTGGCACATTCAAGGATTTCGGTATATCCCTAGGGAAAAACCCTTTGGCAACCGTAAACCCTAAGTGAGTTGCAGGAATTTTGGGAGGTGGCGTAGCGATAGACGGTAGCGATAGAAGTTTCATGTCCTTGTTAGGAGGGTTGGCCATGAAGGGGTGCTCATAACATACATTCGTGACCTTCGGCCAATGCCTGCAACAGGGTGATGGAGGCATCGAAGGGCCGCATGCGCATCGTCCCGTTCACGTCCGTCCATAATTGGAAAATTGTGACGCCCAGGTATGTGACAGAGGGGCACACGTGCTTTGTATCAGCCTTTCTGCTTTGCTCGTACTGTTATATTGAAGTTAGCCCGGGGCTGGTAATTTGTAAACGGTGCACAGGCGCGGGTCTGTGTAATTCTCATGGCTGCAAAATAACCGCCTCATGTGCCCCACCGGTAATGGGCAAATCATCAGCAGCTGATCCTCATCTTCTATTTCGCTCTCTGCACCATAGCATGCCGTGGTCCCGTTATTCTCTTATAATTATGATGCTTGCCAAGTTGATCCCTTCATGCCCTCACAAGTTACACTCCACATGGGCTAACCTACCTACCGAGAAAGGCAGCAACATATCATTCACGCAATAAGCTGCGTCATATGTTGCTTTTGCTTCCGCACCAATTCATTACCGCTCTATGCAAGAACTCCTGTTCCTATGCGGGCCACCCACATGCAGCGTCTTCAAGAAACCGGAGGGCGCGCAGGCGGCAGCGGGACCGGCAAATGTCCTTCCGCAGCTCACTCACGGTAACCTGGCAGTTCCGGGTCCCAGCGTTGGGTCCCAGCCAGGGGAGGCGATGCCGCCCGATGTGCTTCTTCGCACGTTGAAGCAGCAGCCCGCCAACAAGGGCGGCAAGAAGGGCAGCTAATAGGCTTGCGAGGCGAGGAGTTATGACGCTTACGAAGACTGCAGTTGATCGGAGTATTTCCCGCGAGGGGAAATGAGTGCGTGTGTTGCAAGGGAACAGCACCCATGTCAGAACGCAGCGCGAGTAATGTAATGAATGAGCTCTGCGTGTGAGTGGGCGGAGTTTGCACGTATAAATAGTGCCTTGACCGGTGGCCACTTGAACGTCTTGCGATTTTGCAGACCTGCATGGATTCCGTGATCGATATAGCATCAAACACGACCGTCGGCCAAGCAACGCTCGGCTTGCAGCTTTTCACCTCTGGCGCGCCTGCGTGTGCGTGTAGCATGGGAAGCAACCCACAAGGCGCATATGTGCATCCATGAAATGAGCAGTTGTTTATGAACGCTTGGACCCTGACGTTACAACGTGCACGGACCCAACCACGAGAGGACACCATTTCCTGCCCTCCGTCATAGCGTTTCAGGGGCGCCTTGAGCGAGGATCCCGCTTGCGCCAGGCCCCGCTGCCGCCAGCGGAGGTCCTTGGTTGCGTAGGGGCTTCAGTCGGAGTGGAGCCAGAGGTGATCCGCTAGTCGCTGCGGCTCCTTACCCAGGACGCGGTCGACGAGCTTCCCGTTTCGGTAAAAGTGGAATGTCGGACTGTACTTGACGCCCTGAAAAGACACGACATGGTGTGCGGAGAGGATGGCGGGACGTATTGGGATTCAGGTTTTTTTTACTGTGGTGGCGTTAATGGAATGGATTAAGTGTGCTTAGGTCGTAGTAAATGCAACATACTACGAGCTAGCTACGGGGCCCATATAGCTGGAGCTTGAAGAGTCATGATATTATCTCATGGTACATAGGTGCTCACCGCGACAGCGTCTTGCAATGTATCGACTTGGGCCACGGCGTACTTGAGCTGCGAAAACTGCGGCAGTGAAGTGATATGCGTGTTGGTCAAGTGAGGCCATGAACACAGCGGAGCTGGCAATTGCAGAGGTAACAGCGGTGTAGCTGCTCCTACCTCTTTGCTTAGCTTGTACCATGTCGGGAAAAACTCGGCACACTTGGTACACCTGAACGCCCCCATCTCCGTTAGTGCTGGACGTTGTTTGGGAACCGAAGAACATTTCCATGTGGGCGCAGGATAACGCCCTTGAGGCTTACATACATGCGGCACTGCACAGGTACTGACTCACCAGGACGCCCCAAATTGTACAATGGCCTGTGGGTCAAGGATTAAAAATAGCGACAAAGCAAATCGGGTTAGCGGACCCGGAAAGCCTGAGGTTAGCGGACCCATACACGTGAAAAATCGTGTAAACACTAAGGCTGTCCCTGATGCGCAATCTTCCTTTCGCATGCAAGGAAAAAGTCGCAGCTGACTTGGAAGCCTTGGCCCTCGATGGCCCTCTTCTTCGCCCTCGGCCCCAAGCGACGGTCGTGCGATACGCACCGTATGTGCTTTGTTTTCATGCAGGTAGTCGTAGAATTCCTCATCACTTCGTAGTCCAGCCATATGGTTGGCTATCATCGCGGGCTTTTCCTTGGGCTGAGGCTGCAGGGACCGCCCGAGACCGTACGGCACGTAGTCGGGTGTTAATTAAACACCCAATAACTACAGTGCGACACAGGTCGACCTGCTCCATACACATTTCTCTCCCCTATGCGAAGTACCTCAAGCTGGAGGTGAACACGCCCACTTACCTGCTTGAACGTGCCATCTGCGTCCATAGTGACAGTTGGTGGGTGCAAGGGCCGCGACGGCCAGCTGTAAGTCACCTGACCAGCCATATCAAAGCCGATCAGTTGTTTGCATAAGTTTGTTTACCGTAGTGAGACGAAATTGCTGCAATTTATTGTAATGGCTCGCGCATGACAGTAGTTTGTCACAGTTTTACGAGACTATTTTGTTCTAGTGCGACAGTCTCAAACCAAAGTGAAAAATGAAAACAGAGACAAATGCCTAAGTTGGTTGCTATCATGGATCCGGAGCATTGATCAACCGTCTAACCATTCATAATTTATGACGTAAAAGTTAGGAGGTATCATCGATGTGCTTCTACCTACGTATAGTGTAATGCCTGATACACTTGGACTAACTCGATCAGCTCAAATAGTGTGATTGGTGCTTTCGCCTAGCCTGCAGTTATCCTTGTATCAGACGCGTACCTACCATACCCAAATGCAGACGTTCATCAACCGTACCAACGCACCAGGCTTAAAGCTTGCGCAACTGGGAAAATCATGCAAGATGACGGTAACCCGAGAGCTTCCGGGCCCTTGTACGATTTCCACTCATGAACCCGTGCGCGGGCCCGGAAAGCATGCCTTCGAGGTCACCATGCCCAAAAAAGGCGTGCGCACGGCCCTGGGCTTTCTTGAGCAGCCGCGCCTTGAGTACATGACGCCGGACTACCTTCCCGGTGCCGGTTACGTGTCTTACGGTGGAGCTGGCTTCATCTACCCTGCCAAGTCAATGTCAAGGGCGACTTACACCCAAGGGGATACCATACGCTGTGAGCTGTGCTTTGACACTCGGCGTGTAACATTTCGGGTCAACGGTTTGGAAGCAGGCTCCGCGCCCTGGCGTGGATCTCAATCAGCTTACCCTGCGATATCCGTATTTCCTGGCGACCTGATATGCAACATCGCCTTCGATTGACATGCATGGCGCCATCACGTATGTTTCGTTTTTGAATAAGTCGTACAAGACCTACTGATTTTTTCTATGAGCAGGCTGGCGCTGTTTTATTGCCCTCCCGGCTATGAGGGGTTGTTGTTCTTTCATCACCGTTCGGAAAGACTTGTGTTTTATTATACTAATCTCCTTCGCTTGTAGTCCAAACCAGTCGCAATATCTGCATCACGAGTAAAAATGTGATCTGGGATTCCATGATCTGATATTCGATTGAGATTTAGTCAATACCAATACAACGTCCATGGCCCCCTCGGCTTTTACGGACACACCCGCACTTGTGTGCGGAACTTGTAACTTGTAACTTTAGTGGTGGGGCAGGTTGCAGGACCTCCCGTCTTGCCCCTTGGATTCCGGGACGCGTCCTGTGTGTTTCGCGCGACTGTACGGGACTGTACAAGGGTTCCGTGTGGTTGGCGTATCCCGCGAATATCGCGGATGGAACATCATGCATTACCTGTAACATGGTTCACTGAATGTATCAAGGCAACTGTATGAAAAGCTATGATTCCACATTCATTGATGTGGCTGACTGTGTCTATGGTGCCAAGCTGGTGCTTTGAGCACGTCCTGCGCTCTTGCATGCAAGGGACAAGTTTAGCGGTGCCCATCCATCCATCTCCCCATCTCCCCCCATCAGACCCACCACAGCACGGGGACCTCACCCGCCCAACAGCATCCTTCCAGAACCTTCGCTACCGCGCACCAGCCTCCGCAATCTTCATGAGCTCCTCCTCCACGCTCAGCACGTGCACCCGCCCTACCACTGCCACAATCCGCTGGCACCTGCGTACCACATCCTTGCCCACCGCCAACTCAACCAGCCGTCGCGCTACCCAGGAATCCGCCGCCGTCCGCACCATCTCCAGCCCCACACCTCCACTACTCCCGCTCGCATCCTCCCCTTCCTCCCCCATACGCTTCTCCACCCGCACAGCCACCTGGCGCTGCTGCTCCGGGCCCAGGCAGCACTGCGCCTCCCATGCTGTCAACAGCGTGGCCAGCTCCCGTCCCGCGCCGCAAGCCTCCAAACGATCCCCCAGTACCGACCGCCAAGCAATCACCTCCCCCGCCACTTCATCCCCCAGCGCCGCCTCAACTTCTTCCAGGTATACATCGAACTCCCGGCCAAAGAAAAGACTAGCGGCGGGCAGCATGGCACGTGCCTGTCTGTCTAAGCCACACGATAGCAGCAGCATGGGCTGCTGCTGCCGCTGCTGCGCTATACCACCAAGGCCGCCAACGCCATTGAGCATGGATTTGGAAAGGAACGAGGACTTCGAGGAGGAGGAGGAGGTTCGAACCAGGTGTGCGGGTACTAGCCATTCCACGAAGGGCAGGCTGCCCAGGCGGAAGAGGTGGGTCAGCTGTTCGGGGTCCGGCTTGACACTGGCGCCTCTGCAGGCCTGCAGCAGGGCGCTCTGCAGCTCCTCCCGTTGGTGCTGCGTGAAGCAGGTGCGAGCTGCGGAGGGGCTGTGGAGTGCGTCGGCTGCGGAGGAGGAGAGCAGCTGTGTAATCTGGGGCTCCAGCGCTTTGGCGATGGAGGTGTAGGACTTTAGGTGCTGTGCGAGTGGGGGGGAGGACCGCAAAATGACAGGAGGGAAAAAGGGGAAGGGCTGTTGTCGCGTCCCGAAGGGTAAGCGTACAGATGGGAACCGGAAATACCTCGACTGGCTGCTGGTTGTCATGGCAGGCAGAACAATAACAACAACAACAACACACTTGCATTGCTTGCTGAGAGGTGGGCTGAAATGCAGAGGCACTGCTGCTGCACGAGACTCAGGACGGACCAGGGACCCGTCCTAGCAAAAGCCCCATCTGCCACGTGCAATGCCTGCTGGGGGTCACTATACACCCCGGCTCCAGTCTGTAGGCGAGTAGGGAGCTCACTTGCCTGAGGGGGCGACTCCAGGGCAATGGCGTCGGGCTGCACTGCGGCGACAACGTCACGAATGAAGGCTGCATCCGCGGGAAGGTCTGCCCCTACTGGGATCAGGTACACCTGGGCGCCTTGTGCGGGTAAGACCACGGGATGTTCGATGCAGCGTTGCTTCCATTCGTCTCGGGCGTTAGCCCACTGGCGCTCCACCACCCCTGGGATTCCGAGGTCGATGGGCGGGGAGGGCGCCACTCCACCAGCGGGGACCTTACCCTTGCCACCCAGGGACGGCAGCCGCGGTAATGCTGTACCGAAGCCTTTGCGTGCATGAGTTCGCACGCAGCGGCCTCTTGGGCTTGCCGCAGAGTTCTGTGGACAAGCGCAGCGATGACAACCGTCCCTCCTGTACAGCCGGGCAGACTTTTGGCATGTGTCGGTAAAAGGCACCATCCCCATAATATAGGTTGCAGCTTAAATTCACACAGACACCGCTGCTCTCCGCTGCAAGCGATGGTTCTACCGAATCACGTGATCCAGCCCCCATACCTTATGCATTGAAATATGGCATTACCTCAGGAAGCTAGCTGAGCTGTTTGGCGCCACAAATTCCTGTCTAGGCGAGTGACTTAGGGAAAATAGTTCGTACGCTACTGCTCAAAACTTGGTCTCATCCAACTTTTGGGCACAGTCTAAGCCTCCCATCAATATTATATTTTTCATACGGTACGATGAAGGCATTTGGGTCTAAATGTCAATAGAAAGCGTGACTTGTCCGGGACCCAGCTATACCAGTGTTCTTGCTGCCAGCAGCGCATGTAATGCAACGGGCCGTCTACGGGACGCTTTCATTATCCAGACCTCTCCAAATTTCATCACGCACGTCCCACATACCCAGTTGCATGTCGGCACATGTTCGGCCGTTAAAACAGGGAACGTGTCCCAAGCATGGCTAGTCGAAAAGAACACACCTATAGCCCGCTACGAGCCGACACATAACACTTCACCTCATCCCTGCGAACCACGGCAGACCAGTCTCAATGCGGCGGGAGATGCATCGAGTACGTTGGGTCCGGCTGGCCTTGCTGTGCCGGCACCCGTCCTCGCGTCGGGCAGCTACAACGTAATGCTTATTCGAAACCAGCACCTCCGGATGCGTCGACAGCACATGCCGGAAAAGGAACGAAGGCATCGGCAGGCGCCATCACTTCTCTCCAGGGCCCAGGACGAGCTGCCAGCCTGGATGGCAACCGACCCCGCTGATGGCCCCCTGCAACTAACCGGGCAGGGCTCCACGCTGGAAAACCCGCAGCCGCACCCGCAGCCGCACCCGCAGCACCAAATCCATCAACCTCAACAAGCGCCGCGGGAGCTACCTCAGGAACCTAGACGGGTCGTGGTCGACTCTCAAGCCCAGCCCGCACGTCCCGCCACATCTTCCACCGCCACGGCTGCTTTCCCCGCCACCGCCGTCGCCGCCGCTGCCTCTCCCGCCGCCGCCAGCCCCGTTGTCCTCCAGCCCAACCCACACGCCAACATCGCAGACCTGCCGCGGGCCTACCCTTACCAGCTCAATGGCACCGGCGGCGGCTGTCGCCGTACACCTGGCGGCGGCGGCAGCATTGCCGCGAACCTCCGTCGTCAGCGCAGTCCGTTTTCAGCACAGCTACAGCCACAGCCGCTGCCGGCGCACTTGCGCTCCGTCATCGGTTCCGTGGCTGACGTGCGAGCAGCTGAAATGCCGCCGGAGCCCCGCGCCTGGTATGACGCCAAGCTCTTGGCCCAGCTGCCTCCTCTTCACGCCGCAGCCACTAGCCCTAACCAACTGGCATCTGAACTCTCCAGCCTCAGCCGGCGGCTAGACTGTGCCGTACAATCCCTGTCGGCGCTATCGGCCCTGTCGGCGCTGTCGTGCTTAGCTTCCGTGTCAAGTCCGCAGCGGCCGTTGCATCCGGCAGCAGCAGCAGCAGCAGCCGCTGAAGTGTACTCGGGGGGTGTCACGGGGCGGGGCGGCGGTGGAACGGTCGGCGGACTGCGTGGGCTTCCCGGGGGGCCTCCCGGGGCGGGGCCTCCGGCTCAGGGTTTGGACCAGGGTGGTGCAGCGGGCCGTTCTGGTGACCCAGCACGACATGAAACTACGCTCGCATACGGGGGTGCGCGGACGGCTACCGCGGCTGGCGCTGCCGCTGCCGCTGCCGCTGCGGCGGCGGCTGACTCCAGGGTGGACGTGGATCCAGGCTCGGTGCTCCTCGGTCCCGGCGGACCTTATGTGATCCAACGACAACGCCGTTCTGAAGGGTTCGTGGGGGAGAAGAGCCCCGGCAGCAGTGGGGGCGGTAGCGGCGACGGGGATGGTGGCGCCGCGTGTGTAGACACCACCCCACCTCGTCAGGTACAGACTTGTCCCGGATGGGGGGAAGGAGGAGGGGACGGAGGAGGGGGAGGAAATGGGCAAGTCCTGGACCGCCAGCCGGCCGATGACGCATCTCCGCAAGTCCTGGACGCGCAAACGAGGACCAGGCTGCTGCTGCTGCTGCAGCAGCAGCAGCAGCAGCAGCAGCAGCAGCAGCAGCAGCAGCAGCAGCAAAAGGGGACTACGGACGCCAGGGAATCAGCGGCAGCGGCAGCGGCGGGGTCGGGGCACGTCGTGGTTCTGAGCCACGATGCGCTTCAGGAGCTCTTGGCTGAGACAGCCCGCGCCTCGGCGTCCTCCGTCCTGGAGCTGTACCACTCGCAACACGTGCTGCAGCTGCAGCAACAGCTCCAAGACCACCAACGCCAACCACCAACGCTCAACGAACCCAACCACCTGGAGGCATCGGTCAGTTGGGACAACCACCGCCAGGTTGGGCTTGATGGAGCCGCGACGGTCGTCGTTCAGGGACAGCCATTGGCCGTCTCTGGTACCGGTAGTGGTAGTGACAGTGGTGGCGGCAGTGGTGGCGGTAGCGGTAGCTGGCGCAGATATGGAGGGGGAGGGGGGAGTGGCGTGGAAATTGGAGGTGGCGCTGTTGCGATGGATGTCGTTCAGTCGCAGATAGCCGGAGGCGAGAGGTGGGCACCGCCGTTGTGGAAGTCCAGGGGCGGAGTCGGACAGCCTGGCCGCTCGGAGGGTGCTTCGGCAGTGGTGGCGGCGGTGGGGGGGGTGGCTGCGGGCAGTGCGGAGGGCCGCAGCGACCGCGGCGCTGAGGGCGATGCGGAGTCCACCACGGGTGATGGCGCTGGTAGCGGTCAGCGCAAGAGCGGCAGTAGCGGCGGTAGCAGTAGCGGTAGCACTACTATCACCGCCACGGCTACGACGGAGAGCAGCACTCGTAGCTGGGATTACGTGACGCTGTATCCAGCAGCCCCGGTCGCGTTTGAAGGGGTTGGAGCGGCGGCGGTTAGGGAAGCGGGTGAGGGTGCGGGTGCGGGTGCGGGGCCTGTCGTTACCGCCGCCGATGCGCCGCAGCGTTCGATACTTCCGGCCGTACATACAAGATCCCAGAACGAACCATTATCAGCTGGGGTTGCCGAAGTACGTCCCCGGGGTGACATGGGTAGTCGGGCGAGTCAGGGGGCGGGGGAGGTGAATGCGGAGGCGACGCCCCTGGCGGCGAAGACGGGAAGCAGAGCAGCATCGGAGGACAGTGTTAGAGCAGCAGCAGCAGCAGTAGTAGTGGCAGTAGCAGCAGAAGCAGCAGCCACGGGGGTAGCGGAGGCGGATAGTAGGGGGTTGTTTGAGGGGAGGCGTGTTCCTCAGGCGGCGGGGGAGAACGGGACTGCACGGGATTTAGCTGCCGTGTTTGGGGGTGGGGATGTTTCGGACGTGGAGGCCAGCTCTCCCCTTCGCGATGGCTCGTCTGACGACAGCATCGACCGTGGTAGCGGCCGTGGCGCCGGCGATAGTACGAGCACATCGCAGCGCGGCATCGCCGATACCCCGTCATCCGTACCGGCAAGCAAGGCAAGGAGGGCAGTGCAGCCAAACGAGGAGCCACCCTGGGTGCGGCGCTCGGGCAACAGTAGCAGTAGCAAGAACAGGAGTAGCAGTAGCAGTGGTGACAGGGCCCGGAAGAGCTCCGGTGGCCGTGATGCCGTACATGCCGTACAGGCGACAGTGTTTCAGGGGGAGGTAGAGGAACAGACGCAGCGCGGAGGTGGCGGTGTATTATCTGGTGCCGCGGCATGGGACGACCAGCCACCACGGGCGGTAGGGGCGGTAACGACGGACGTCGGCAGTTCCGATGGCGACGACTTTGGCGAAGGTGGCGACGACAGCCTGCACGCCCGGATGGAGGTCGCCGGCGCCTCCGACGGCGCCTCCGACGGCGGTGACGGCGTCGTGGCGTTTGCCTTGGACGTTGACGCTGACGAAAATGATGATACGGATGTCCCCGAGGGAGAGGAGTCAATACAGCTGCAGCAGCAACGGCTGCAGCAACACCTGGAGGAGGACGACGAGGAGGAGGAGGACCTCCTGTATAGTGGCGATGCTGGAGGCGTCCAGGGAGGCGTCCAGCGGCGGGGGCCCGCCGCGGCGGCGCCGCTGCCCGAGTCCCAGGAAGTCCGCCCTGCAGCAGGTGCCGTACAGCTAGGCGGCGATCACAATAAGAAGTCCAAGGTTCCAATGGGTGCCCTCGGTGACGGCGGCGTTGCCCACGAGCCGTCAGATCATTCTCTTTCCTTTTCCATCAGCTTCAGTCACTTGGTCGCACCGGAGGCCGCAACACGTGGTGGTGGCGGCGGTGGTAGTGGCGGGGGGGTCATTGGAAGGGCTCAGCACAACCTGCCATCGATCAGGAGGCGCTACGGGTCCTAGACGTTGAGGGGAGATTAGGTGTTACTCATGAAATCCGACAGCATGGACCTGGACCTGGGATTAACGATATATACTCGGGATAACGCCAAGACGAACACCATACTTGTGTATATACACACCCACATCTATATAGCAGGGGGCCGCTGGTGAAGCTATACCACCCTGTAACAACATCATACGGAAGACGTGTGCGTCTGCGGTACACCCCAGCCTCCTGTGCGCGCTTCGTCCCTGCTTCAAACCGCTTTTGTCTCTTTGCATGCGACCTTGGCTCAGTGGCGGCGTGGGGGATGGGGGGAGTGGAGAGCGTGAAAGATGAAGGGTGTCCGTGAACCCGCGCGTTGAGTACTGCGGGCCCATAGCGCGGATAATAATGCCTGGATGGATGCGATAACGCCCCCGCCCACACGGCCTATGTCCCACACGGCTCTTACAGAGGGGCCCCCGCACTTGTGCGGAACTTGCAACCGGTAACTTGATAGCTGAAAACCGGTAACTGACAACTGGTAAGCCAGGGGTATGTAGTGAGCCTCACCAATCCCTCCTCTTGGACTCATTCGACTGCTCATTCTACCGGACTGTTTGCTTGCTGGCGGCCGTTGGGGCCGTTTGGGCCGTTGGGGCCGTTGGAAGAGGGTCTCACTAGGGGTGTGGGGTCGCCGCCCTGATGGCCGACTCGGTTGATAACTGAATCGATAACTGAGTGGCTCACAGGGCCGACACGGGAGAGAGCTGGACGAACATTTTCTGGACCGTCCTTCCCTCCCTCCTTCCATCCACGTACCCTGTTTTACCACGAAGCATAAGGAAAGCGGCCTTTATTGTAAGCAAGCACCTAAAGCACACGCGCCTTTAAAGGTTTAATTTGTAAATATTCCTGTTAGAGCTGACGGGTTGTGACACCGATAAAGGTATGTTTGCGAGCTTGACGACGTTGACTTGGTTCCCGTTTATGACATATCCCCATGCGGCGAGGGCTTGTGCTCGACAAAGCCGTCGCCTTTCCTGACTCGGTCGGGGCGCGGCTCGATCCGCTCCCGGCTCCCCCCAAGCATCAACCCGGTAATAGGTAATAACAAACGACAAATGACAAATTTCTGAGTCGCTCACACCACAGTTCAAACCCCCCAGTCACAACAGCGCCACACACATACACACACAAAAGCAAGTCAGCGACCCCCGCCTAAGTTCTCCATCTGGGCCAGGCCAGCGGCCACAGCGCCCCGCGAAGCTGCCTCTCTCTCTTTCTCTTTCTTTCCCTCCTCCTCGCAGTTGCTGTCGCAGCCGCGGTGCCCCCTCCACCTACCCCGGCCCAGATCCCTTCGCCGGGCGAGCCACCAAGTCATCAGGCCGCAACAGCTGCAGCCTACCGACCCGTGGGTCAATCCGGGCGAGCAGTAGCTGGTAACGTCTGGGTGGCAGTGGCCGAGGGGCCTGAGAGGCAGACGGCTGCCGCGGGTTGGTACTGGTTGTGGGCGGCTCCGCCGGAGAGGCATGTGGGTCCACTCTGATGAGCACTGTCAGACCGGCGCTGCGCATGAGCCCCTCCGATACGGACGCCACCGCCAGCAGCGCCGTCAAGCGGCTGCCGGGGCTGGTCGCCACCAGCACCGCGGTGCCGTACCGGACCAGGTGCTGCATTGCCGCGGCTGCGGCGGCTTGCACATATCGCTGGTCGCCGCCGCCGTCACCGCCCGCCTCATCATCATCATCATCGCCGCCGCCGCCGCTGCCCTCCCCATTCTCGTTCTTTCTTCCTGCCCCCGGGTCCGTACCGCCAGGTCGCAGCCGCCGGTTGACGGACTGAGCCGTGATGTGGTCCAGCCCTGGGGGGTACTCGGGGAGTGAGTCCCGGTGGTGATGGAGGGCGGACAGCGGCAGGCGGTACACCTGGGGGGCAGCAGGCGGGACACCGGGGGTGGTGGAGGGGTAGGGTGGGGGTTTGGGAAGGGGAAAGGGAGGGTGCTGTTTGGCAGGTGAAAGGGAAGCCTGTATCACACGCTTGCCAAACCACAGCCTTTCGCGCATGTATGCACGCACGCACACACGCACCTCCGCGACGAGCAAATCCCCATCCGACGCCGACTCCTCCTCCCTTCCCGCCGCCTCTACAGCTGCCTTCTCTTCCTCACGCTGCTTCTGCCGCCGCTGCTGCCGCCGCTGCTGCTGCCGCCGCCGCTCCTGCTGCTGCTGCTGATGATGTTGCTCCTGCCGCTCCTGCAGCACTCGCCTCGCTTCGACGGCCGCCACGGAGCCCTGCCGCAGCACCCGGCTCGCCCCCTTGTCCGCTAGCTGGTGTGGCTCGGACTGGGACTGGGACTGGGACTGGGACCTCCGCTGCAGCTGCGCCCCCAGGGCACCAAAAGGAGAGGCCGCGTCAAGACCGGTCCAGGGCCGCGGCAGTCGCCGCCGTGTGCCGCCCAGACAGACACCCGGACAGACAGACGACATCGCCCACAGGGGGCCAGCAGGACATCGTCCCACAGGAAGAGGGGGAAAAGACGAACCACGAGCGAGTCGTGAAGAGGGTGAGGGGGTTGAGGGGGGTTGAGGGAAAGGAGTAAGGAGGGGACTAAAAACACGTGGGTGCGAGGGGAGAAGGAATGCAAGAGCGGGCAGGTTCAGTTTTTTCCAAACCCTCCTCCCCCTTCAAGCCGTCCGAGCCGGCGGACTTCTGCCTCAAACTCCCAACCGCCATTTCCCTGTCATCACCAACCGCCAACCGCCATCCAACCACCCACCTACCGTAAACACCAGCGCTCCCCGCTTGGGCCGCTCCAGCTTCCTCAGCGCCCCTTGCGCCCGGAAGACCACCACTGGCAGCCGCAGCACAGCACCCAGACTCCGCGCTGCGAGGGCCACCGGATGGCCCTCCGTGACTGCGCGGGCTACAGCCTCGGAAGCTGTACGAGTGTCGGGGCCGTCAGGGGGCCCCAGCTGTAGCTCTAGACGAGTGCCGCCGCCGCCACCGGTTGCTGCCGCTGAAGCGGTAGCGGCAGCAGTAGCACCGGTAGCATCACTCCGCTGCTGCGGCACCACCGCTAAGCGAACCGGCGGGGGCCCATGGCCGCCGCCGCTACTACCGCTACTGCCGCTGCGTTCAATGCGCTGGGTGGCAGCAGCAGTAGCAGCAGCAATAGCAGTGCGCGGGCGCTGCGGATCTCCCGCTGCAGCGGTGGCGCCATCAGCCGGCGCTTCCGGCACGAGCTCTGCCGTGCAGCAACTGGCCCCACAGGGCTTGCTCTCTTGCCTTGGGGGGTTTCCTAGGGTGGCGGAGGCAGAGGCGACGGCGACGGCGACGGCGGGCCCCGGTGCCGCCGTGGGCATGGCGGGGGTGGCCTGCTCCAAAAACACTGGCCTGCCGCTGTCGTCCCACTCGCACAGCACCACCTCCAGTATCAGCTGCGGGGCCTTATCCAGCAGAACGGGGTCCAAGAACCCCGCAGCAACCGCCGCCGACACTGCCGTACCAGGTGCAGCTCCGCCGGGGGCAGTAGCAGCAGGAGTGGCCCTTGGGCCCGGTAGCGGCGGCGGCCGTCCTGTGTCGCGAGACCTCCTTCCCGCCGGGCGGCTCGCCACCGCCACCGCCGCCGCCGCCGCCGCCACCGGCGGCGGCAGGTCTGCACGCGGCTGCGGTCCCAGGGCGCTCATGTACGGAAAAGCCAGGACACCCAGTCCAGTCGGGGATAAGGCCCCGGAGGCTACAGACAAAATCGCCAGGGCGCGGCTCGAAGCGTTTCGGCCAAGCGCTTGCATACGGCAGTAGCCGTGGTTCCGGAGCCGGTCCGCCAGCAACCGCCCTAGGCCATGTGCATCGGCGGTGGCGCCGATAGCTAGGGGCGGCAGGTGGCGGCGGCCACCGCCGCCACCCGCAGCCGCCGGTACGGCGTTAGCCGTACCGGATCTGTACAACAACCCCAGCGGTGGCTGGACTAGGAATACGGACACCAGTGCTCGCGGATTAAGATGCGCCGTGTGCTCGGGCCACCCCTTCAACCGCTGCTGCTGCTGCTGCTGCGGCGGCGGCAGCAACGACTGCGATGACACCGAGTTACTTGGGTCCACGCCGCCGTCTGTGCCGCCGTCTGCGCTCCGTCGTGGCCCCATTCCTTCCGCCAGCGCAGCGGCCGCCGCCAACGGCGCCTTCCACTGCCGAGGCCCCGCAGCACGCGGTGCTGCACGAACGAGCCCCGCACCGCCGCCAGCGACAGGCGCCTCCGCCGGACAGACGACGTCACCAGCTGCCGCGAACCCTCCAGACAGGCTGTCCTTGCCCTTCGACTGCGGCCGCAACGGTGGAAGAGATGGCGACAGCGATGGTGGCAGGCCCAGCTCCGGACGCCGCCCTGTGCCATATTGTACAGTTTGACCGTAGTACAAACGCAGCTCCTGTTCGGAGACCTCGTGGGCTGTGAAGCACACGGCGGACCCCGCGGTAGCAGCGGCGGCACCCGGGCCCCAGCCCCGGTTGGGCTGCAGGGAGGATTCCACGGACGAGGACCACGGACTACTGGCCGCCACGTTGTACGATGCTAGCCGAATTGCGCCCTGCGCGTACGACAGGGCTCGCAAGGCCGTGTACGCCTGGTACGACCCCGCCACCAGCACGTGGCACGGCGGTCCGCGATAGGCGGCGTCGACGTCGCTGCAGCTGTCGCTGTCGCCCTCGGTGGCGAGAGCCGTTGCTACAGCTCCCCCCGGCGGCGGAGGCGCCGCCGCCGCGCCGCTACCTGCACCCTCCCCCTGGTATGGCAGTAGCAGTAGCTGTTGCAGCACCCGGGTAGTCAGAGGCCCAACGTCCCCCGTGCGGTGGCTCCACAGAGTACCGTCCGGATGCGCTGCCACGGTACGACAGGGCTCCGAAACCACGGGCCCCGATATCGTACTCCTGGCATGCCTCCCTTTGCTCAACACCTTATCCACCGCGTCTTCAGTCCGTGTGTCTGCCTGTCCCTGTCGCTTCTGTTTCGGCCGTGTTTGCTGCCTTTCATGATGCTGTTGCTGCTGTTGTTGTTGTTGTTGTTGTTCCTGCTGTTGTTGCCTGAGATGTTGTCTTTGTTCTCGCAGCTCTTCCTGCTGCTGCTGATGCTGCGGAATGCCTAGTGCCTGCGTCAGCGGCTGCATCAAGCCACCCGGCTCCTGCGGCCGCTGCGGCTCTGCCTGCTTCTCCCCTCCGCCAACCTCTTCCTCCCCCCTCTCCTCCTCCTCCTCCTCACCGTCTTGGAGACTGAGCAGCTGTTGCAGCTGGCCCCCCTCCCCCTCCCCTTCACCCTCCGTCCGTCCCTGCTGCTTGCCCAGCTGTTCCATCTGCTGCGCCTGCAGCAACATCTTGACCGGCCAAGGCTGGGGCCGCTGCGGCAGTGACAGCCGAATCCTCCTGCGTGCTGTTGCTGGGCCTGTGCCATGACGCCGCAGCCTCATGACCATCCCGCGCGACCCGCTACTCCTACTCCTTACCCCACCACCTTCCCCGCCACTGCCGCTGCTGTCACCGGCCCCAGTCTTGCCTCCCTCGGCGCCCGGCCCTGCGGCAGTGTCGACCGCGGCGGCAGTAGCAATGACGGCAGCAGCACTGGCTTCCTGGGACGGCTGTAGCAGAGCGCGGTCGGAAGGCCGGGAAGTACCCGGCTCGGCCCCCGCTTGGTGGGCCCCGGTTTCAGGTTCGAGCTTGAGACGGCCGCCAGCGCCCAGTGCAGTGCCGGCTGCGCCCGGCAGCTGCAGCTGTGGCACTGGGCTGACAGGTTGTCTGTTGCGGTGGCGACCGCCGCGCATAAGCAGCGCCTCGTCTTGTTGTGCTAGGAGGTCCGCTGCGCTCACCTGGCCCTCAGGTACGATGGACGAGGCGATATCGTAGGCAGCGTCTTTGGACGGCTGTAGCCGCTGCGGCTGCGGCTGCTGTGGGTCCCAGGATGGCTGCGGGGTGTAGCTGGTGGCGCTGGATGAGGGAGGGGGAGCCGCTGGGGGGTGCTGTGATGCATGTTGGGGTTCCGGTGGGGGAGGTAGCGTGTCGGGGGCCAAAACCTGTTGCCGCTGCTGCTGCTGCTGCTGGCGGCGAGGTGACTGCAGCAGCGGCGGCGGCGGCGGTGGGGCGGAACTGGGCAAATGCGTAAGCTGCAGCACGTCGTGCTGCTGTGGCTGAGTGTCCGTTGCAGGTGACGGACCCCAGAGCAACTCCTGTTGCTGCTGGCGGCGGGAAGGCCGACGGCTGCTGGTGGGGGAAGCGGTTGGGATGCCAGGAGTTGCCGGATCGGGGTTGCAAGCAGCAGGGTTCTGATTCCCCGTTCGTTTCACCGATGAATCTGTTGCACAAGTCCGTATACGTGGGAGACGGGAGACCTCGCGCAGCTCCTGATTGGGGTTGCAAGGAAAGGACGGTTAAATTAGTAATGTGGGTGCGTCTCAGCCTTTCTTCGCGTCTTCGGCCGATCACAAAACGTTACTTCTCCACCTGCCTTGCATAGATCGCTAAAATTCCAGCTGTTTCGTAGCATGATGCGGTTTCGAACGCGCTCGACAGCGCCTCTGGCGGCTGAGCGAATTTCCCAAACCATTCGTAATTCCCTAAGCCCATAAGGAAATTAGATGTTCTTGAAGTCAGGTTTATCGGGAGCATCCTTGCAAGTCGTCATAACGAACCCCCGAATTTGTGAGAAACCTGTTCAAACATGTAAATATTAGGAACCATAACAGCATATTTGCGATTAGATAAATCAAATTTCACTGTGCTTGAACCGATGTACGGCGTACAAAGATCGCACGCAGTGACAGCAGCCAACTCCTTCCTCCCTTGCAAATCTAGATGATCGTTGTGTTTTGCACTTCCTAAACTGCTTATCATAATTGGATAGCTCATAGGTCAGCATCCAACTTAATTCGCCGAGCTGTTGTCAGCTCTCGGCCGCATCGCAGCGCCAGCAGCTGCGCAACAATAAGGAATACCATACCATACCATACACAGTCGCTTTGTTACTACCCTCCATGCAACAACTGAACTGCCGGTCGGGGGCCCGGGGGCCATTGCGCATCGCCGCTGGTTGCAGCCCCCGACCACGTCGAGCCCACGCTTTCAGTCCCAACCCTTTCAACCCCAGCCTTTCCTCCCTCGCCACCTCGCCGCTACGACCCGGCCGTCTCAGCCGCTCCACCGGCCTCCAATCCCGCCTCATCCCCGCCGGCCTCCCTGACCCCCTTGCCGTGGGCTTGTTCTTCGCTCCCGGCTTCGCCGCCCTGGTGTACGCATACTTCCGCGGCAAGGGCAACCTTACGGACGGCCTCAGTCGCCTGCTGACGGAGATCAGTCAGGGCTACTTCCAGCCCGATGTGGGTGGCAAGAACATCCCCGTGGCGCAGGGCGAGCTGAGCGACCTGGCAGGTGACCAGCCTCTATTCAAGGCGCTGTACCAGTGGTAAGATTCGGGCGAGGATGGGGTCCCCGGTGGGGTGGGGGGGTGGGGGAGAGTGAAGAGCAGGCCCCCATGGCCCCGTGCTGCGGCGCAAGGGCGACCCCAACACAACCGCCACCCTTCTATTCGTTTGTTGTGTGCGGTGGTGTAGAGAGCGGGAGGAATGTTAAGCAACTCCCCACCGCTCACCTCACTCCGCACTCCTCAGCCCCAGCCACCCAGTCCAGAGCCCGGACAGGACAGGACAGGACAGGGCGCACAGGCGCAGAGCACATAGCACAGCCTTGCGAGGTGCAGGACATACATACATCCTGAACGGGACACGCACGTGGCTCAGAGCCAGGCAATTCCAGAGGTACTCCGCAACCGGGGGCCGCACGGGAGGGCCATCCGCGGACCTGGACAGCAGTCAGCGCTGTCGGCAGGCCAATACAGAAGATCAATATGATCCCCCTTGACGTCGCTTATCGCGTACGCCAGATAAGGTAGCGCACGGGACCACCAGAACGGCACTTAGGGTTTATCTTTTAGCCCCGCCAGAACACCAAAACACACCAAAACACACCAAAACACACCAAACAACCGCGTGGCGACATTGCTTCGGGTACCGACATTTTTGGTGTTTCGGACGTCTGCAATTCATCCCCGTTTCGTCCTGCCTTGTAATGTTCTCGCCTCCCCTCTTTCCCCCCCCCCCTGGGACATGGGACCACCAGGTTTATTGAGAGCGGTGGGGTGTATAAGTTGGTGTTCGGGCCCAAGGCTTTCATTGTGGTTTCGGATCCAGTGGTTGTACGGCACTTGCTCAAGGTGGGGCCGGGTAGGGACTGCTGGGGGGGAGAAGGGGGGAGGGGAGGTCAGGGAGGGTATCTAATGCGCGTGTGGGGTGGGGCCTCAGGGCCCGAGGAGACTAGGGGCTGGAAAGGGGTTAGGTCCTCTCCTCTTTTCGCCTTCCTACGCTGCCTGCTCCTGCTGCTGCTCCCCCTGGCCCTGCCTGCTCCTGCCTTGTCCTGCTGCTGCTGTTGCTCCTCCTCCTCCGCTTCCTCAGATCAATAATATATTTCCCATGACCCCCACTTTCCCCTTCCTACCTCCCTTCTCCTGGACCACCCTCTCCATCTGGGTTCTTTCTGCAGCTCAAAGCTTAGGATTTGAATTTTAAATTTAAACTCCTTCGGATTTTATATTTCCCTCCCTCTCTCCCCCTCGCCTCCCCCCATATTGTGTACGACTTCCCCCCACCCCCCCACCTGCAGGACAATGCGTTCAACTACGACAAGGGTGTCCTGGCGGAGATCCTGGAGCCCATAATGGGAAGGGGCCTTATCCCAGCCGACCTGGACACGTGGCGTGTACGGCGTCGCGCTGTCGTACCTGCCTTCCACAGGCAGTACTACGACGCCATGGTGACCATGTTCGGCCGGTGTGCTGACAGGTCCTCAGATAAGCTGCAGGCGCTTGTGGAGAAGGGCCAGGTGGGGCTAGGAGGGCGAGGTGGGGGTTAGGGCGGCAGTCTGCTGCTCTTTTGTCACGTGTTTCGTTTCGTGTTTCTTGCCTTTCGTCCTGATCTTTACTTTTCATTTTATTGTGTGTCGGGAATGTGCTGCGTGGCAGTGATGGATGTTGTTATTGTCGTTATTATGGTATTGGTGTTTATTGATGTTGACGA